CTATTCGTGCATTACCTCCAGCACTTTGCCTTTTACATGTATCGAACTTGAACTGTACTGTTGAACGTGATCTTGGTCTTTTTCCTGTTCATCTTGAGTCCAAATTCCAGACTTTAATCAGGTCGTTTGATCAGTTCATTTGCTGAGTCGCTTAAGAGAACAACATTGTAAGGAATTTTGGCGAGATAGTGTCACCCTTTAAATTGGGACCCTCTATTTCTGTATGGAGCTTGATAGTTTCTGTCCCATCTTCGTACAGATCTAACAATTTACAAATGACTTCCTCTACTCCTTGTCTTCGAATAGTCTCTAATACTGCTGGTATTTGTACAGAGTCAAAAGCCTTTTCGTAATCGTAATGCCATACACAGGGGTTTCCTATATAAATTTATTTTCTCTCTTATTTGGGTTGTTGAGAATCTTCTACGAAAGCCTGCCTGTTCTCTAGGCTGGTTCGGATTTGGAGTGTCAGAGAAGCAAGTCTTTTGTGAACCATTTGTAAATAACTAAGCTCGGTCGTTTTTAGATCCCTTCTACGTTGCATTTTTCTGTTAATAAGACATTTGTTTCAGAGTTGCAGTTTCTCCTGCATCCATAATTAGACCTTGCACCTATGCGTGCATACTTCTACTTCGGAGTTTAAATAGTATCTGAGGGAGCGCACATAAGTCCATGCATTATTATGTGCATAAATTGTAGGGTTGCGTCAAACAGGAAGGTTGAGAAAGGGAAGTAGGTAAGGTGGATGGAGGGAAATAGGATGATACTGGACCGGATCAGGATGTGGTTTGGGATTTAGACTAAATTAGAAAGATTATTTTGTATCCTGCAATTTTTTTTTTTTTTTTTTTTTTTTTTTTTTTTTTTTTTTTTTTTTTTTTTTTTTTTTTTTTTTTTAAGGTTTCTAGTCTACAGGCTTCGCATCCGTATCCGACTGCGGTCGGCGTCTGGCGATGAAGTGTTATCGCTTGAATTATGTGTTGTATTGTAAACTCTAGCTGTGAGGATGATATTTAAACGTACCCGGTTTCGTAATGTACTGTATTCGCGTACTGACGAATTGGCAGTTCCTTAGCGGATTTCTGGGGGGAAACTGAAGTACCTATGGTGTTTAGCGCAGTTTCATGGCGTCCTGTGGGAATGGAGAGAGGTCCTGCTTGTCATTTCCAATTAATTTCCTGCTTTAGTGGACTTTTTCTGGGGGAGCTATTCTTTTATATACCATTGTTTGTATCTTTTGTCGCACATTCGAGAAACATTAGAAGCATTAACATTGTAATGACATCTAGCATTCCTAGTTGTCACTTTCTGCCACTGCTTTCCATTTGAGAGATCCACATATGTATAGTCCCAGATTAGTTTTATAGACGTGAGACGTTTGGGTCGGATAATATATCTATCATGGTTGGAATATACTCTATACATTTGCAAATGTTCATCTCGAGTGGCACCAACGCAGCTCACTTCTGACTTATAATTTTAGCCCTTATTGTCACTGCTCTAATCATAACACTTCTCTTACTCATCGCTAGTTACTATATCATATATATATAATATATATAATATATATATATTATATATATATATATTATTATATATTATATATATATATGTACACACCCACACACATATATATACATATATGGGTGCCTCACGCACAGGGTGATGTGAAATGATGGTGTGGTAGCCAAGTTATTATTAAGTGCTTGCATGCCTTATCACTTGCAGCTGCCACCGCTGGCTAGCCTAGTGCGAAAAAGGGGAGCAGCTCTGCATAAGCCTCCCACTGCCAGTTCACAGCCTCTCCATCATCAAGACTTCTGTAATGCCTCCCCGTGGCCTCCCGTGGAAACTGGGTACCTTGCAGTCCTAGGCTAAACTGTGGGGGATCTCGGAGGCCCTAGAGGTACAGGGTTATGACCCATCGGCATGTGTACATGCCCTGGCCCTGTATCAACTCTTGCCCCTAAGCCCCCAGGGGTTAAAGGGAGGCTCTGGAGAGGTGGGCCTTGCCAGTCCTCCTCCCCCCCAGATATAACCAATCGGCAGTGTTCTTTATTAATGGAAACGCTGGGAAATGCCCCTCCCACTCAGCAAGTGAGGCGGGCTGCGGGCCCCGTTGGGAGGGCGGCTGCTGGGGCGCAGGATGGGAACAGGAACTATTCGTCTTGCCTGCGTTCTGGCAGCTGCCAGCTCAGAGTGAAGTTTGTGGGGAAAGCCCAAGGGAACCGCACAGGTGGATGATGGGTCCCACTGCCTGCCACCCCCTTTTATATGGCGCAGCATCGGCAGAGGTGGCGCCCACCCAGAGTGACTGCCCAAGGCTAAACTTCAGACAGGAAGTCAGGGGGGAGCTTGGAACATCCGTTCTTTGCATCAGGATGATCGGTTGCCTCTACTGTCGAGGGAACTGGAGAGGCTGAGAATTGAGGTGGCTGCTCTCTTGAAGGTGAGAAGACCTGGCAGCAGCATGATCAGTGTAGGTGGCTACCCCTATTACTGGTCGGGCCACAGCGACGGTCGCCATTTCCAGGGAGTAGCCACAACCATCTACAGTAGACTCAGTCAATGAGCGTATAATGGTATTGAAACTGAAGCTAGCTTTTGACTTCATGTCTCATATTGCTGTGTACACTCCTACCGATGTTTGTAAACTCGACATGAAAGAGATGTTCTACGCCAAACTTGCATCTGTGTCAGACAGTTGTCCCAGGATTTCTGGCTCCATCGATTGATGAACACCTAGAGCAAGACAGAATTTATCTCACAGGAGACACTGGACACCACAGATGCTTGCTTGACAAGGGATCGGTATTTGTACCGATCTCAGGTGCACAGAACTCGGTCACTGTTAAGAAGAGACAAGGAAGTTTATTAGGAGTCTTCCAGAGGAGGTTTAAGGATATTTCTTAGTAAATGACCTCTGTCCTGCACACCAGGCCCTGAGAAAACTGAACTCCAAGCCCTCTTCACAGGTGACAGCAGTTTGCTTAGTGTGGCCAGATCGTTTCAGATCCTGTTACCCATCAGTGAGGATCCTCACTCCCTAACTGAAGTTAGGGGGGTATTCTCCAAGCTGTAGAGTCGTAAAGCAGCAGGTATCTGTGGCATTCCAGCTGAACTGTTACAGGCTGGTGTTGAAGCTATGGCGCGAAGGTTGCATGCTGTCCTGGCTGCCATCTGGCTGTCCGGTACCGCTCCTCCTGACCTGTTGATGCCTCTCAGGAAGGTGAAGGGGAACCGATGGGACTGCAGCAATCACCGAGGCATCACACTGTTCAGTATACCAGACAAGGTTCAAACCCACATCCTTCTGATACTGAGACGTGAGCTGCTTGCAGCCTACATCTACATCTTCAATATGGTGCATCGAGATTCACTCTGGGAGATCCTGAGACTGAGAGGAATTCCAACAAGGATTATTGGACTAATAGTCTATACTGGTACTGAAAGTGCTGTAAAGTGTGTGTGTGTGTGGGGGGGGGGGGGCTGTCGAGCTTCTTTCTTGTAGGTTCAGGAGTAAGGCAAAGCTGTGTCCTTGCACCAACACTTTTCAACATTTGCATGGGCTTTATACTGGGCAGAGCTACTATTCAAAGTCATTGTGGAGCAACTCTGGGTAATGTCAAGGTTACTGACCTTGACTTTACTGATGATATTCTATCCTGAGTCTATGGAAACATTAGTGGTGGCTCTTGCATTTAGTAATGAAGCGAAGCCCTAGGGTCTAGAGGTCTCCTGGAGCAAAACCAAGATCCAGGACTTTGGGGACTTGTTAGGAGAACCTGTTCAGTCGGTACATGTTTGCAGCGAGGATATTGAAGTTACAGAGAGCTTTACATACCTTGGTAGTGTAGTTCATAACTCTGGGCTGTCAGACCAGGAAGTCAGCAGACGGACTGGCCTGGCAGCAGGGGTCATGAACTCTCAACAAGAGTATTTGGAGATGCCAGTACCTGTGCAGAAGGACGAAGCTATGCGTCATCAAGTCCTTGATAATGCCAGTTTTACTGTACGGTAGTGAAACCTGGACATTATCTTGTGCCTTGGAGTCTCGTCTTGATGTAAAATCAATTTTTCCATACACTTTTAACATCACGAAATGAGGTGGAGAGGGGAGATCTTAAACAAAATATTCAAAACGAAAACTGCATACATTCATGCAAATGTAATTAGTGTTGCCATCAGTTCTCTCTATCCATGTATAAATCTGCATGTTCGTTTGTTTCCAAAGTTCCTATAAGCATCAGAGGCATGATTGAGAACGGCCGCCCATGACTCAGTTAATTATCTTCGAAATGCTTTTTTTCTGAAAGAGGGGGATTCGACAAATTCATCTTGATACATGCAAGCAGCACTAAATTTCTCTCCCATGCAAATCCTGTCGATTCTGAAATAATGCATTTGTTATAGAGGGAAACAAGGTTTTAACTATCACCACGGTCTAACTGTCCAGAGGACAATGACGTATGTTAGTCCTTTTTCAGTAGAACAACTGACATGACTAGACAAATATCTAGTAGTTATAGTTTATGCATCATGAAAACATACAGAATCAATATATATATAATTATTGTCAATCTAATCTCTCTCTCTCTCTCTCTCTCTCTCTCTCTCTCTCTCTCTCTCTCTCTCTCTCTCTCTCTCTCTCTCTCTCTCTCTCTCTCTCTCTCGTACACTTCACTTAAAATTAATATTGACTTTTTAAGGATACAGACCACTACCATACTAACAAAATTCTCTCTGGTTACTTTTGATAATTGTTATCATCATGAATCCTCAGAGGCTTATCCAAAAGCAGGCGAGATTGCAACCCTCGGGAGCTTGCATTTGTAGTTCCCCCGAAGTGCAATGTTGTTCCACCTGCCTCAACAGCAATCCAAGGTAACACGTGGTTGCAAGTGGATTCTGCTTCCCGGTGTCGTGGGAATCGTGACGTTCTGTGTGCTGTTAATTACACAATATGGTGAGCTAAACTAAAGTAAATTTACGGTGCCAACATGATTGCAAATAATTTACTGCATGTTCGACATGATACCAGTGAGTCAATTACGTTGATATTTATCCTTGTCATCCTCAGCAAAGGGCAGACAAGGCAGCACAGCAGGCAAGCCGAAGCTGGTGCTGCTAATGGCACCCGTGGGTCGGAGTGGAAGCACTTGGCTTGGGAGATGCTGTCGTTGCTGCATCCCGAGGGCGTGTACCTGTACGAGCCGGAATACATGCTGACTCGAAGTGGCTCCCCTGTCATTCGCGAGGACGAGGCGATGTCCCTCATCGCAGGACTTTTCAACTGCAAAATAACGGAAGAGTTTGTTGAGTGGATGAAGTCAAGGCCAGATATTCGCACTGTGTACCGACACATCTTTACTACTAGGGTATGCAGGAGACTGGACTGGGGTTGCCTTCAAGCGGACAAACTCGCTCGGCTTTGCGGGGAAGCCCCATACAGAATGATCAAGGTGACCTCAGTCTTCCAGTTTTCCGCTTTTTAGCAAATTACTGATGATTATCTGTCTCAAGACTAAGTCGATGGAGACTCATTGAAAAGAGTCTTTTCGTTTCAGACGATCCGCCTCCGCCTGGCCTGGATCCACCACCTCTTCGCTGCACCCGACTTGGACCTCAAGGTCGCCTTCCTGATACGAGACCCGCGCGCGAGTATGGGGTCGCGCAAACGGCTGGGATGGAGCAGAGGCGCGCGGGAGCTCTGCCCGAGAATTGAGGAGGATCTGAGACACGTGGCCGAACTGGAAAGGCTCTTCCCGGACAGATTTTTCTTTCTGAAATATGAAGATGCTTGTTGGGAGCCCTATGGTGGGTGGTGTTGGAGTTGAGAGAAGCAATCGCATTGAGGCGCTGAGAATGGGAGACATGAAATTGTCACCTTAACTAAAATGCGATTCTTGTACCCCCGGTCTCCTATGACAAGAAATAGTGTGGTTAGTGCTCCTATCAATGACAGAATAAGGCTATTAATATGATGTGAAACTCTTGATCAGGGCGAAACAAACTTTAAACCTATTTATCTTCCACTCTCAATACCTCATATATCATGCAGTTGTTTCTGTACTCCCTCACTCTAGTCAGTTCATATACAATTAAAGCTTCCATCCTCGTATCTTCTTTTTTGCCTTCTCTTAACTCTCTCTTTCCCTAATTTTTCTTCTCTCGTCTTTGTTTTTATTAACATGTATAAATTTAATTAAGTGGTCACGGCTTCTTAAAAGGATAATTATATCATGGCGAGGAGGAATGGCATCTTGCTTTAATTGGCCTTGTGTCTTGTTATCCAGAGGCTTTTCTCATGTGGATCTAGATGCCACTTTCCCTGTGGCTGATTGACCACTAGATGTCTATCATGTGTATCCAAGCATCTCAGTACCTTGCACTTTGCATCTGAAGCAAACTTACATCTGGTGACAAACCATGGCTGGTCTGTGGGTTTTGTTGAATGAGAATGATTAGCCACATAGTGATTTTGTAGAGATGAAGGATACTGTGTCAGCCACTCGGCCATTGGAATCTCCAGTCAGACATTGCTGTCAGTTTGTGTTATTGAGTAACTGCTGAATTGGTTCCAGCATGTCTTCATAGTAATATCTCTTTTGGAAGGATTCTTGAATATAAGGCATGGTGTTTAATTCTATTGAGACTGTAATATGGTCTGAAGATCAGATCGTTTGTAGAGTTTACACTTGCCTTTCGCCCCAAGATCACTGAGCGCTGTATCAAGTAAAAACCTATGGACATTAGGAACGTGATCTTGTAGACCATAAACTCCTAAAAGGTCATCAAAGACAGGCAGGACGAGATGTTGGTTGAGGTCTCCAACAGCCTAAGTGCGTTGGTAGCTGAAAGTATTTTACTGTGAATACTATATAATACACAGGACTGCAGAGGAGTCTTCCATGATGATACGAAAGAACATGGCCTCCAGTCAGACATGTGAGCCCCCAAATGTTGGCCTTGTAGCGCGATCACGCTGGCACCAGTGTGTGCAGCCGTGGGCTTTGCCAAATGTCTCATCAACAGAGCCATATATGAAGGTTTCAACTGTGGCAGCTATATCAATGTTTTTCTTGAGGATAAAGTAGCGGGTTAACTTGCCATCATTGAATCCCTCTGGAAGCCTGTTCGGAAACGGACAGGCTTGCTGAGCAGCGCATGGCACAAGCAGATTGGGTCAGCTCTTGGAACTGAAGACGACTGATGAGGATAACCCTTGTGGTTGTGACCTACATGTAGACTTTTAAAAAATCCCTGAAGAAAAAGCCGTGAGCACCCCCTCCATATTCCCAGGTGTAAGAGGGTAACACCAGGTACGAACAATCATTGGCGGCAAAATAACACTCAAATTCGGTATCCCATCTCATTGGGGAAATACCAGCATCACACTCACACAAGTAAACTAGAGGTGCTGCAGTGGGGCTAGAATTACGTCTGAGCAATAAGTGTGCCTGGGCATATGCAAGGACAAGATTTGATTCAACTACTAATTACGTGTCCAAGACGCAGTGCAGGGTCCTCACTAGGGACTATGTAGTTAGATGAAATGAGGTTCGTGACTGAAGATGAATAAAGGAAAGACAAAATCAGAATCCCAACGAATATCATGAGAGACGAAAGAAAAAGAAAATTGTTGATTCTGAATACACTTTTATTCTCTTATTGTATTTTAGTTTTTTTTTTTTTCATTCTGAATTTGCACTTCATATTATGTATGTTGTACGTGCAGTGTAAACATTTTCTACAGAGAATTAATTGTCAAAATGAAGTAAGCATTTGAGTTTGTATACTCTCTCTATCTCTCCCTCTCTCTTTCAGGTTCTGCGCTGAGCATCTACAGGTTCCTCGTAGGAGAGGACGTCACCACTCTGCCGGAGGTGTGGCAATCCTACCTCGACCAGACAGCTTCCAGAGCCGAGGCCGAGGAATGGAGGAAGGAGATCGACGGAGCGACCCTGGAGGAGGTGGAAGAGTCCTGCGGCCGTGTCATCGACTTCCTCGGCTACAACCACTTCGCTTCTACGAGAGAAATGAGGAACCTGTCCATTCCGCTCCTCATTTGAACCTGGCTTGATCGGTCGTAGGACTTGAAAAGGTTTCCTGCTGATGTTGCTTTTCGTTAACTCATGTCAAATGACGTCTGTATTTCTTAAATGCGATTTCGTCAGGGAGAAAACAAAGACAGTACAGAGACGTGGTTCTTAACCTTTTTACTGCCATGCCTCCTTTAGGTATTTGGCCTTCCCTCCACGCCCCCTTGCATTTCTGAATAAAATTATTAAATTTATTGATATTAAACTTATCACTTGACCATGCTCTCGTTAAAAGAATAGGAAATATAGTTTGAGAAATTCCTCCTTTTCCCCAAGGGCTCACGTCTCCCTTCGAAATTACTGGTGCTCACCTAGGGATGCGCGCCTAGGTTAAGAACCACTGATATAGAAAATAAGATGTCTAAACAAGTGTTGCCAGCTGATTCAGAATATGCATATTTTTCATTATTTCTGTCAATTGAATCTTTTCTTATTTGACTGCTATATTTCTGCCAATTCCACACTCTCTACCCCCCGGGCTATATGATGTAATGCATATACATATGATAAAGAGGCCAATCTTATGGGCTTCTTTAGCTGGCAAACTACGAACAAAGAAAATCAAACTTTAGGAAAGTGGCTATATTCTATGTTTCTTGATGGCTAATAATGGTGTTGATCATTTAAATATCCATTTTGTTGAACTAGGCACGCTGTTTCTGGGAGTTTTATGTTAAAACTGGGGGTACTGATCTAGGTTCTTGTAAAACTGGAGGGGATATTTCCCACCCCCTCCTTCCCGTCACTGCGCTCTTGTGCATATAGGTTATGTAAGTACAAGTAACTTTTGCCAATCACAGTTCTGACTAATCACTCAAAATACAAGTGTAGCAGCCCAATAAAAAAACGAATGAAAATGTTTTAAAAGATTATGTTTAAAGTTGAATACATAGACGGGTATTGGAACGGTTGTTTACTTCAAGGGCAGCTGAGCAGAACCAGGGCCTCTTGAAGGGGTTGGGAGGTAAATTGCATTCTTTGTCTAGTTTATGTATCTTGCCATTATTATCTAATGTTTTGGTGTTTTTTTCTAATACGCCCGCATAACGGATCGTGATAATTTTAGTATCGTTGGATTCCTCTCACTCTCGAGTTTCCGAACATACAGAAATTACTGTGCGGAAACACCTAAACCCCTACATTCTTGGTCCTGATAGCAGGGGAGGGCATGGATGGTACCACGGAAATTGCGGGAGTAAAATGTGAATGATATATATATATATATATATATATATATATATATATATATATATATAATATATATATATATATATATATAAGTCACTATACTGTCTAATGTAACTGCAGGGGGCTGCAGTTACCTTTATACTTTATACTTTATTTGAGCAGATTGTTAGAATTATCATCAGTTTAATAGTATAAATGACCACGTTGCCACAGTTATTACGTTCCGTATTGTTTTTTGTTTGTTTACATATGTGCTGGCATATAAATGAACTTCAGTGAAACTCAATCGACAGTTGACTATCATGCTATGTCAAATTCCACCTAAGAGGTATGAAAACAAAGGTGTCACCCATAAGGCAGTACTACAAATCAGGTCACAAGTTCTTTTGGTCTTTGCTGCTTCTTTGCTGCTGCTTGCGCAATAGAGCAATTAACTCACCCCAGTAGTCAAGTGTCCCACACAAGCTCATCTACTGACAACATTCCAAGAACAACAGGGACCAGGAGTGACAAGCACAGCAAGAAGACAACGGTATCCACCAGTTGTTTATTTTAAAAAGGGCGGTTTTGATTATCCGTGGTCTCGAGAATTTTTCAGATGAGTTAAATCGGCCTTCATATATATGATCCGTAGTTCTATGAAATTTAAAGCTTGTAAAAGATAATAATAATCACAGCTAAACCATGTTATCGTGTTTCTCTTTCTTATTGATGTAGTGCTTTCTCTTGTCACTATTTTTTACAGTGCTTCTCATACCATCTTTGGCAGTAGAGTTTTAGTGTGCCAGTCAGAAAGAAGTAGAATAGGTTATACAAATGAAACACTAATCCTTAGGAATGTGTTTACTGCTTTTGTTCTTTTCTTTTCTAAAGCTACATTTGTCACTTTCTTGGCTTGGTTGGTGCTTCCTCAGCTAAAACAAAAAAATATAAATTCTTCCTTCTAATCTATGAGATCTACAACAAAGGGATCACAAGTAAATTTCCAGTTTCAAACAGCCACGGAACTTTTTTTTCGAATTGAATATTAATTGATATTAATTAATATAATTAGTTATTTCCGTCGCATTTGTCTCGTTGACGACTGACGCAATTTGTATTCCCCGACGTCAGTGCTGATAAAATGTCGAAGTGTCGGCTTCGCATTATATTTCTTGAAATTAGTAAGATATACACAGCAAAACCGAACGTAAACACTAAAATAGCTTTTAATGCGTGTTTATTGAAACTTTACGGAGACGGGAGCTATATTTCACATATTCAATCTTGAAAAGACTTGTACCGTATACAGGCTATATCATCTCCCAGACTGTATAGATTTTTCCCATTACGCAGCAGTCAGCACTGTTTTGCAGAGAGCTTAACAAGCTCAAATCCAGGCAAACCATATTTCTTGATCATCAATGATCCTTGAGCAACTAGTTAGCTCTGGTATTCATGGAAATGTGTTAGTATGAATTCAAATGTATCTAACCAATAGATCAGCTCAGGTTTTCTTCAGCTGTATTAAGAGTACTCATACAAGTGTTTGAACTTGGCACACCTACAGGAGGCGTACTTAGTCCCATGCTATTCAACATCCCAATGCATAGATTACCAGGCGATATACCACTTGAGGGTAATGACTCCATTATTTGCTATGCCGATGATAGTTGCATTAAATTCTTATCCGAGGGGGGAATGCAGCAGATTCTTGATGTACTTTCTGCTAGGCTTTCAGATAGTGGCTTGATTAGATCGACTGAAAAAAACAAGGCACTTAACCCTGACAATCCCTCTCCCTCTGCCAAGGTTTCACAGCAATGGCGAGCTAGATCTCTTGTCACCAAAATAAATACCTCGGGGTGGTTGTTGATGCAGAGTTCATGAGGAAAAAAGAAAAAAAAATTAAAAGGCTGTAGGAGCGGCTGAAGCTATTAAGGACACTTGTCGGCAAAAACCATGGCATGAATGTTAATATTGCTAGACCTTTACCAGTCTTACATGTGGTCGGTCATAGATTATTACGCATTGCATTAATTAGAGATGGCTAGTTTAAAAATTGTACAAGATAAGGCCATGAGGATTATTCACGGTGCCCCTAAAACAACGATGATTGTGAATATGAGAACAAAACTTAATTTACCTTCTGTCTATGAAAGAATATTACACTTAAACACCACATTTAGTATCAAGACAATAATAGAGTTCCAAAGACAACTAAAACATAGAATAGTGGAGCTACAAGTTACATATAAGCACTTGCTTCAGCTGAACATACCCAAAACTAAGATCCTACATGGACGTTCTGCTCCACCGTGGAAAGTGTAGGACTTATGTGTATTTTATATGACTGCCCCCCAAAAAGACAGTGCCCCGCCTGCTGAGCTTATCCGTATGATTGTTACACTAATGGATCTTTGCAGTCTGGGAGTAAAGCAGAATGCGCTTTTGTCGATATAAAAACTATATTTTGCAGCACTAGGGACTGGATTTACTAAACTCTCGTAAACGCTGTCTCGTAACAATTACGAGAGGTATCAACGATTTCTCAGCTAAAGACGTTACGACCCATATTCAAACGCCAAACAACGAGAGCGCAAGGGTCTCGTAACCGTTACGACCATATTTTCTATCACCATGTATCGTAAGGGCTTTATTTCCTAAAGGAACGGCTCGATCGACCAATCATTGTTAGCACGGAAAAAATCGACCAATCACAGATAGTTAACCGAGGCAACACTAATGAGGTTTACTTATGTTTCTATATTAATCATCACCAGCTTTTATTGATCAACACCACCGTTATAAATAATGTCATAAATTCTTATACCTATTTATATCTGTAGCTATGGCTATATCCATCTCTCTCTCTCTCTCTCTCTCTCTCTCTCTCTCTCTCTCTCTCTCTCTCTATTCTATATATATTATATATATATAATATATATATATATATATATATATATATATATATATATATATGTGTGTGTGTGTGTGTGTGTGTGTGTATTAATAAACATATATTTGTATGTATGTATATACATTATACATACAGACATTCATATATATATATACATATATATATATATATATATATAATATATATATATATATATATATATATATATATATAATATATATATATATATATGTATGTATCTATCAATCAATTTATGTCAAAGTTGGTCCCATATCCATGTGTACGTAAGGGACATGTTTTGTAGAGAAACAAGCTTGCTAAGCCGCGGAATGATGCGGTAGGTTGGCCAGTTCCTTTGACCCTAGCATGCTGACGTCAGCATACCAGTGCTCATTCACAGCTGAGTCGACTGAGAAGGGCAGCCGGGAGCGAACCCTGTACCATGCAATTATAAAGCTAGCGCTCTACCACTGAGGTATTGCCATTGGCCAGAGGCAGTGCCACTATAATTATGCTATCTCATTGCATGTATTTGGTAAAACGTAACCCTTAATTAGTTACGATGATATAAAATTATAAGGGAATAAAACCACAAAATAGAGTTTGGTGGTAGTGAGGCTGTTAGAGGTGAAGTATTTGTGGACGATCTTGGTGGTTACTTTAGCTCGAGGTAAGGGCCAAAATACTAAGTCGTCTTCAACAAACTGCCGCCTCAGCATCTATACAACCGAACAACCGGGCCTCTGTCTAGGTGACCTGACACCCCTTGGTTTAAAATTCCTGGAGGCAGTTCAATTTGGAGCATCATTTAGTAAAGGTGAATCGGTGTTGACACGTATAACTGACCAGAGATTAACTCTAGTATCAGCGTGAAGTAAGCTGTAGATTCCAGTTCGTCTTTCCCCCGAAGTTAGTGGACGACGGGCCAAGGAACTATAGTCAAATTATTATTACTTATTATTATAAGTATTATTACTTAATACATTTCTAAATTCTTTTGTACACAGTGTTTAATATTATCCCATTTTGCCATTCCTACATAATAGGACACTGAACAAAGAAGGGAACCACACCACAGAGACACGGGTTTGGCTAAACACAGTGGTGGACGAAACAAAAGAAACAACACTGATACTGCTAAAATCACTTGAAGTACATCGACACGAGAAATGCAATATTTATTCAATAATCCATGAGTCTTGAAGAATAATGATATATAGGAATGAATAGATCAATGATATTGACTCATATTCTTGAGAAATAGAGTAATTTAATTCAATTTACGGTTTCCAGAATTAGTGATGAATGATGAGACAGAATGATGCCATACTGATGTGGTTTCAATGTTCATGAATAATATTGAATCTATCTGAAATAACCTTTGATTGAATTACGAGAATAAAGTAATAACAAAAAAAATTGTTAGGGCTAACTAGGAGCCTAACACTATGCCACCTCCATCTCTCTCAGGATTGTAGGAGAGTCCATGACTGGCCTAGTACTACACAGTAATGCTCATAGCCACCGAATTTCTATTAAATCAAGGCTCAGGGATAATTTCTTGCGATTCGCAGAGTGCTCTCCAGGCTTTGAATACATTTGACAAAGGTTCAGGAAATATTGCAAACGAAATCAGGATAAACATGTATCGTGAAAGAACGAGGCTATGATATATATATATATATATATATATATATATATATATATATATATATATATATATATATTTTGTGTGTGTGTGTGTGTGTGTGTGTGTGTGTGTGTGTGTGTGTGTGTGTGTGTGTGTATGTGTGTGTGTGTGTGTGTGTGGATACCATCGCATGTTGGAATCCCCAGGCATGATCATGCTGACAGCCTAGCAAAAACAGCATGTGACAAGCAAAGCAAGGGTATAGATCTTAGAGTACCTCTTGTTAGGTCTTCACACATCACTAAAACTCCCTTCAAAGAGGACTTTGAGTTGACTAATTTTCAACAGTCTGAAAGCTTTATGACCGTTTTGTGCAAGATGTTTTCATCTATAGTTTATATAAAACAAGACCAAGACAGTGTGATATTGTGATCGCAAGAATCACCTTGGGATATAGATTGCATTGGCA